GAATTTTTCTCCTGACGCGACGTCGACACGTCGTCCTAAATATGTCCCTCCGGACTGGACAATAAGCGGCAACCAAGTCGGTCCGTCTTGAATCGACTGCCTGAGGGAGACGGCCAACAACCGTGTGGTATTTGTTAATAGTATTCATGAGCTTAGAGCCCTAACGACGTGACTTGAATGACGCTCCCCTGGAGATGCGGTCGGCAGGGAGGGCGGGAAGCGGAGTAGAGAATCACGATGCGCCAAGCCGCTTTCTGAGTGCCTTCTTGTGACTTCATACTCTTCTTTTTACATCCTGGGGAACTCTGTCGAGGCCTGCGCAGATGATTCGGTCCCGCGTTGATTCAGCGCTTCAGCAAGTTCAGAGCTCTCGTAGTTTGTTGCGTGATAGTTCCCGGGAGCACGCTAGCTATTCCCGGTGCATGTAGTACTTATTTAAACCACCTAGATGCAACACTTCTGAGACTCCGAAAGCGGTTACCGCTGTTCTTGCTCGCTCTTTTTCACTCGAGTAACTCATGAGAGGTCGAGAGGGCCCGCCATAGATCCAAAGTAGTGAGACGTCAGGAATTTACTCGAAGGAACCCATGAATACAGGGTCAGCCTCATTCTCTGGAGAATTTACGCGAGTCTCAATCCTTGTTCTACTCACAGAGGCAAAAATCTCGTGAATATCATGAGTCCGCGGATTCTGATTGAGATACATGATTTTCGTCGGCCTTACCTTAGCGGACTGTTTCGCAGCTTATGAAAGAATTCTGTAATTCGAGCTCGACTTCGCGGTTCCGAATCCATGAAGCTCGAATGGTCTCCCGCCAACCTTCCCCGACCTAAGTTCAACACATGAACACGCTGCGATGGTGTCCGCTCCGGTCGGACAGCTGACTAAACACAGTCGATGAGTTGCGAGTAACTATAGTTTCGCAACAATTCGAATTCGAGGTTATTCGAGTTGACCTCTGAAAAGCCTCACCGCTACCCCGAATCGGGAGGAATTGTGGTGTGTGCGATGGGGATATCCGCTTGGGGAAATATCCCCGGCTGGTCATGATCTCCACTTCTCAGGGAGTTCCCTATTCCCGATCTAATACGGTTCCGGTAAGCTCGAGCTGGGGATTGGGTCATTCCAGATGATTATTCCCGGATTGCGATGTCGGACAGAGGTCACCATTCGGCTCGCTCACTCGACTTTTTCGGAAGTATTGAGGTCCAGCATCGAGCGACAGTCATTAAAACGGAAAATTGAGTGAACACGAAGAGGTCGATGCCCTTCGTGAACCACCTGGACAAAGTGTTTTGTGCGAGTCAGGTTCGAGTGATCATTCTGCGGGCTGGGCGTATCCGACGGATGTTACGAGCGTAGGTGTCTCGCTTCTGTAACTCGCTATCGAGGTTGCTATTGTTTCAAGCGCGTTTTTAAGAAGGACCTCACGTTCCAGATGTCGCGGGAACCTGTCCTCGGGCTCTCCTCATTTCCATGAGGCCCTGAGGCACCAAATGAGCCCGCGGACTGTTTCGACGATTCTTGCATGGTTGAACGGCAGGCTCCACTATCTGACTGTCAAGGGCTGACGGTCCCGGAAATTTCCCGTACTCGGACACGCTTTGACTGAAGTCCCTTAGGATTGCATAGCCCGGCGCGGCGTCGGCGGCATACGGATTAAGCTCGCTGAAGCTCTTGATTCCGCAAGTTGAACTCTATGAGGAACGCTTTCTGTCACCGAAACGGCTCGGAGACGCCTAATGAGCAGGATCACACCGCAGCCAACGATGAAATTTGAGGTCCACGCCGTCAGGGAGCTGAAGCTGCCTTTGGATGGCGCTGGAAATACTGGCGGCATCGCGATGCGCGTTGGTGGAGAAGAACTATTCGAGATGCCTACAGTTTATTGGAGCGACTTTGGTCGGAGTTAACTTCATTCGGGAAACTTCATGAGCCGTCGCCGATGATTCGTTGTGCAACGCATATTGAATTTGCAATGCCGAAATAGCTGCTGAAAACATTCAAATTGTTAACCGGTGGACGAAGTTCGTAATTACTATGCTGACCCACATACAAGTTTGCATAGTAGGGGAGAGCGCGCCAATATAAGCGATGTGTGAGCTTGGAGCGTAGGCAGGGATTCGGAGGCGACCACAACAAAGTATGTTGAGCGGAACACATCAAGCTGAGCTCGGCGACAGGAGCAAAACAGTTCTTGACAGCTCCGAGGGTCTGGCGTAATCCGCTCCCAGAGGTGACCAAGATCATTCATCTGCATGCGCAAAGATCGTTCAAGAAAATAGATTGTATTCAACACAACAAAAGACGCTCTGGAGGTTTCGTTTCGCTCCTTCAAAAGACGGACGAGAAAGTGGGGGAGAATTGATGCCAGCTGATCTTCATGCGGCGAATCGTGGGGTTTCGTTTATGAGAGATCTTAATAGAAATCCAAATGTTTGCTCATTCGGCTGCTCCCGAGAAGAGAAGACTGGACTTTTCCGGGCTCGACTCCCGGCGATAATGCTCCCTCGACATCACCGGAGTTTCAACAGTCTATTCATGGACGTAACAATTTCTGAATATTTTAGTTGTAACGCTGAACGGTGAGATTCCTCGATCGCGGCCGATCAAAATGGGTTGGAGTTCCAAGAGGCGACCCGATTCGGAAATTCTCCACGAACTGCGCCGAAATGCAGCAGGTGGGGTCATTATCGATTTTATTCGACGAAAGGAAGCGCAGAAGATCACATCTGATCGATTCGATCACAAAAACTGATGCTCATAGGAGATCTGAGATTGAGACATTCTTCTGCGCTGAATTGTTAACGTCGACGGAGTTTCCACGGAACTATCGACTCGAGAACACCGAATTCGGGAACCTCCCGATCCCCGATTTCACATCCGAGCGCCTTCTCCCGAGACGACTCTGTGCTTCCTGATTGCGCAAGAGGCAAAGCTCCATGTTTTCCGACAGCTCGCTTTAAACTTCAGTACGATCGTCGAAGGAGAGGACAATCTTTCTCACCAAAGTTCTCTGCCCAGCAATACTTATATCCTCGCGCGCAACAAAAGTGTCAGATCAGGGGTGGATTATCCGGGCGGCTCCGGGAATCTCTACCTCTGCTCGCGTTCGAGCCGGTCCGGTCAAGCTGCCGGGGAAGGCCTAGAATAGCGCCATTAGACCCCACTTCTCGTGTGTTGCTCGGAACAAGTGCAGCGGCGATCCTAGATCCCCGTGCGGATCAGGGAGCATCCCATGCGAGTTCGGTCGCGAACTCCTAATTGTTGACTTTCCTACTTGAGGCCGAGCTCGTCTCGCTCGTCTGACTCGACCTTGGACAATCTGACGATCCGGAGCGACGAATCGCTACGATCGCGGGCAATCCCCCTTCCTCCGACAGAATGGCATCGCTTCAAATAGCATCGGCGCAGCCAGAATGAGTCGCTGCTATTTTCCCATGTCTATTATCAATGTGGTATCCGTGTGTTCGCTTCCTCACTCACGTGATTGCAAGAACAACCTGGTCCGATTCCGGAAGGACATCGTCCTCGATCCTCGAAATGCTCTAAGTTCCGTAATTGAATGTCTCGTGCAAAGCAGAGATATCCTGCCGCAAGGAGTCGAGGAATGACGAGATTGCGGAAAAAACTTGATCAGAATCCGGAAGCTACTAGTCAAGGAAACGATACCGTAATGTCATGATACCATTGCGGGTTGCGGGGATTGTATATTATTTCTTTCAAGTGTTTATTTCACCGTGGGTCGGTATGTATCTTTAAAAATAACAATAACAGTAACAACATGCATTGGGGCATGCTCCCATTCTTTTCCTCCGACGGGGTGAGGGGTGGGGGGGGTGCGTTCTGTCAGATGGGGTGTGAGCTGACTCCATCGATGCTGCTGAGAGCCTTTTTGTTCCGGCAGTGGAGCAGGTGGTATCGCCCTCCCGATTCTCCGCATAGTTTGCACACACAAGTCGCGGTTGGCTCGTGGGAGCTTGGCGTCGAGCAGGTGAGGTGGTGGAATCCGTGTGCTGCGAATCTTGTTGTCAGGTGGCGGTTTCGGTTGCGGCTTTCTTTCCATGATTCCGAGAGCATCGCGTTTGTTTGGAAAAAGTCCGGCTCGATTCCAGTCATTTTTCGACGGAACTCGTCAAGGTAGGACTCGAAAGCGGCGGTCGTCGGTAGCTGGAAACGGTCTATTAGCTCCTCCGAGTGGCTTTTTGTACCCGCCATCAGAAACGTCTTCGTGTTGCTAGCGTTTGTGGGTAGGCACAATGCTCTTTTATATTATTTCAAACGTAGGTGATGGCAGCCGCGACGTCCGCGTCCAATGTTTTCTCACGGCGCCCCGTCCGCCCATTGGAACTGCCAATTCAGCAATCCGGCTCTGGAATTCCGGGACTTGTAAAATTCATACCCCCCGAGGGTTTGCGAGCTCGTGTAATCAATTTTGGGCTTTCTGCCAAGAGCTGTAAACAGTGAATTCAGAGATCGGATCCGTTGCTCATTTCTTAGCTCCTAATTCTAGTCCTCGCTGTTCGTTCGAGCTCGAGCGTTTCTTGGTCTAACGGGCTCCAGGTACGAAGGAGAATCGATCTCGCTCTGGAAGTCTCCGACAGATGATCGCAATAATTGTGCGAACACGAGCTCTCCGGACAGATCGCGCCGTGAAATGATTGATTGCCTAATTGCAAACCAGCGGTGCTCAGGAGCGTGATGTTTGCGGTAGTCGGTGTTAGGGTTTGAGATAGGATACTCGAGGAGTCCTTGAGTGCTCGACGAGAGGGGTCCGAAAACTCGCGTGCTCTTGTCGAGGAGACTGTGTGGGCTAAAACAAGTCGATCCTGAGCCGTTTCAGGATCGACGATGAGCTGTGTAAGCTTCGAGGACGACATGCGTGATTTGTCGATAAACGCTCGATCGTCGTGCGATCGAATTTGACTGATCCATTCTCACATTTTGATGACTTTCGTTCCAGGTGTCATGTGACCAGCGGGAATCTCAGCGGCGATCTATGGCGCTCAATCAGCTGGTGAGACGGGCTTCGGACATCTTCCGCTTACCCGCGATTCTCCGAGAATCGGAAGATGATCGGGGTAGGAGACGGAGCGCTCCGTCGCCCGAACACCTGCGGAAGATCGCCAACGCTCTCGATGGTGAAATAATTTTCTGCAAGAACAACGTGTGCGTGCATCCTGCGCAATCCTCCACCGGTATCATCGAGGATGGCATCATACACAAGGCGGGATACTTCACAATCAAAGCACAGCACGATCCTGTAAGAGACAGTCATCCAGGTCCTTGCTGGGTTGAGTTTTTTTTTCTTTTCTTCTCAATGCGCGGCGGGAAGGAGTGCGAGGAAGGAAGCTCCAGTGACTACCAAAATATTTCATCCGAATTTAATTTTCCGTGTTTATAGCGATCGTTGCCGTGGATTTTCTCCCGCGAAGATTCCAGAGACTGACAAGCAGCTGCGGTCTCAGATCTTCTCGAAGTCGTGGCCAAAGCTCAGATCAAATCGTTCCGTGGTCTCTATGAATCTGTCCGAGTGTTTGCTCGTCCACTGCAAGCTCGTCAATGTGTGCGAACAAGCTCAGGCGGATCACGATGGTCGTCATCGCCACCTAATGACCGGGCGTCGTCTGGAGATTGGGAACGAAAAGAGTACTAGGACGTGACATTCCCTCAAGAACTTCCGAGTCATATCATATGATGCTCGCTAGACTTCCTCTATGAGCCTCTCCATTCATCCGAATGAATGTGCTTCGGGCGAGTTGTCGGCCTACTTGGTTGTCTCGTCGTTGACTCGCTCAGACTTACCTGCGCCGGCCCGAGGCTGTCTGTGCTCACCCCGAAATCTTCAGGCGCCTTGCCCTCCTCTCCCCTGTATGTCGAGCGCTGTGTGAGAGCTTCTCGCAAGTTGTCGACTTCGGAATTGTCTTGATTGAACTGGCCTTGTGATGTTTGAGAGAGCACTTAGAGTAATGCAGTTTGCTGTCGGCCATCAGGTTCCAAAGGACGCTGTGAGGGAGTGATTATTTAGTTTGGTGAAATTCCTCTGAAGCGCGAAAACGACAGACTTATGGGGCGACGAGACGGAATAATTCACTTGACTTCGCTAAGCTCTTGAAGTTGAAAGTACGGCTCTATGGTGTTCGTCAATCGTCCCTCAGGGAACGTCAACTACCCGGCTATTTCGACAGAGGGCTCGGAATCATGGAGAAAGTTGCGACGAGGGATCGAGAAGGCGGCACGGCGTCAAGGAGGAGGAGCCTCTTCTCCACGTCTAAAGTGCGCAGTCGTCGAGTATAATCCCGTTTCGAAAGTGCATTATTTTCTTGTTCACGTCTGTTTTCTCACGGAACGAGAAGTTCAGCAACTACCATCCTTGTAGCGAAACCAACCCCGGAAGCCAACTCGGGTGGCGGACAGGTTGCTATTTGTTTATTTTTGTGGCTTCGCTCTGGCTTCGAGGTCACGCTGGACAAAATCGAGCTTCCCATGCGTTTAGACGTCGGAGTATTGCTTTACAATGGCGGAATCATCGCGTGGAGGATCGACTTCCGTGAGGGTCCCGAGCAGCTCTTTCGGGAAGCTTTGTCAAAGTCTCAAGGACATGAGCATACTTTGAATTTCCCGAGCGAAACTCGGTCGGAGGTGCAAATTTATCCATCGGTGGAGATTCCGGCCAATAAGCACTTGGGAAAATTATCGCTCCCCGTTTCGCCCCGGGTGTTGTGATTCGATCGATGTTCCTAAATGGGTCTACGGTCTACGCGAGTATCGTCTTCCTTCTTTGTGCCCATGAATTTTCGGTGAACATTTGTCTCATGGCGGAAAGAGTCTTGCTGATCGAGGCGCGGAGGTTTGTCCCGCTCGATATCATGCAGTGCTTCGGGAGTTCTGGCAACCGTTCTGAGCTCTTCTTCAGCGAGCTCGGGTGAGCGCCTCGGATCTCAGATTGGAAATATCCGTCAGTTCAATGAGCCGTCGATGAACCTGGCTGAGCTCGAGATCGCGCGAGGGAAGGCCCCTCCTCTTGGGAATCGCGATGGAAAATTGCAATCGAATAAGATTATGGAGCGCTCTTTAGACGCGGGAGACGCTCCCGTTTCGGATATCATTTCTGTCGTCCATCGCACCTAGCAACAGGTGTGCTGGGAAACGGTCGCTCGTTTCACTATCATCAGAGAGTCGGATTGAGCCGCATGAAAGTTAACGCCTGTCCCGTTACAGGTGATCGGATGTAGTCTCCAGCTGACATGGATACCGAATATTTCGCTGCAGAGAAACCCCAGACATTTGGAGAATCGAGGCTCGGCAGGTTCTATATATAACTCGTGTGGCGAAATCCGGCGTGTCTCCTGCACCAGCTTCGAGTAAGTTCAACAAGTTCCTGTCGCGTTGCCACTCCTCCCTTAATACCCGACCCTTGGCGCTTTTCTCCCCGTCGGTATCTTGTTACGGAACGGTGTCCATTGGAAGCGTTGATTCCGTTGGCAATCACAGGGAACAGCGCCAAATTTCGTCTCGCGGTCGAATTTCGCAAAAATCATCGGGGACTGAGTTGTTTCCCGAAGTGATGAGGAGAATCTCTTCCGGGTCTCTATGACTTTTTTTCCGAAGATCCAGCGAGTTTCATTTCTACGCGATCTGAATGATTCGGAGAGAGGGCGCCGTCCGGACAACTCGTGAATATACTCAGGAAACTTCGCGCATTCGACGGACATATCCTCTTCGAATAGCGGCTGGCCCATTAGAATCAATTCTCTCGATCTCACTCAGCTTCGGCTTTGCAGTCTGACGGAAATGACATATGTCTTCGATTCCAGCGATGCGGCTCTTTCCCCCACGTCTTGCTCCGATAAGGAAAGTGTTCGAAGTTTTGGCGGTCGGCGCCCGAGTGACGACTTCGAGATGAACCGGAAAATTGTCCAGGAGTGGCGGAGCCGGTAAGAGAAATTCCTCTTGTAGCGATCGAATATCCCGAATCGAAATGGGAGGCGCGCAAGCCGTGACTTAGAAGGGGCCTGGAGGTGCTCGTGGAGAATACAAAGAAAACGGTGGCATCCAGCTTCACACGTTCGTACCGGGGGTCGGTTTATCGCGGCGCTGAACTCGGTGCTCGGCTAGATGCCTCCTCTCGACCTCGGCTAGATGCTGTGGCTCGGGTCCTGGTTCGCCGGATCTACTTCTCGCGATTCGTGTCTCTCCATCCGAACGCTCTTCGCGCGAGAACTCTTGGATTCTGGAAATATTCCTGGGAGACGTCGCAGCTTTCCTGTGACTCGTCTCCGTGCAGCAGAGCGACGTCACAATATTCTGCAATTCGAAGGCATAAGATCAGATCTTTCGGAAAGTTTAGCTCTCCATACTACTTGCATGGACCATGGTGACTCCGGGAAGAAATCGAGCGAATTGCTCGGAAATCTTGAGAGAATCCTGGCTAGACGTGATCAACTAAACGACCAAAGCCTCCACCGGTGGAGACGATTCTAATGCTTTCCGCGACGTCCGTGTCACGAAGAAAACATTCGTTGACCACGAGACCCGCAACAGGGCTCTCCTCGTGGGAGCGCCCACCCATTAGTTGCATTGGGTTGTTGCAAGGGACAGGTAGCGGAAGAATTCCCGTGATGTCACGATTTGATTGGGCACCCGAAATTAGAAACCGACCCAGCTGAACTAGGTCCTCGTTTCCGGAGGGGCTCGATTGCCTCTCTGCTTCTCTTTCCGCCGGACTCTTTTTCGGGATGTCAAACGAGTGATCAGCACTCGGAGCAGAGCGAGATGGTTCTCGAGGGTAAATAACGAGCGTAAGCCGCGACCGTCGCTGCGAAGGATTAGATGCGAGAGAGAATGCGTGGTGGAAACAACGAGCTACCTGCATTTATTCATTGACGATTCTAGAACGGACTTTCTCAGAAACTACGGAGCGACTCCGAATCAGGGATGCGAACTGATGTTACTATGAATTACTATACGATACTTCTGTTGAAAAGAAATCATCCTTCAAGAAGGAACTGATATCGAGGAACAACTCGTCCTCCTAATCGCTGCTTGGGTCACCGAGGACGGGAGAACCCCTTGGATGCTTTTGCCGACGAGAAGTTATGAATTTGGATAATCTCATGAACGACGGCAGGCGAGATGGCGTTGTCGAATCCTTTGCGGAAGTGTCACGGACCCCTCTTGCGACTCAGAACAAGGAGACATTTTTCACCGAGGGAGAACCACGGGTGAGAAGTCTTACCCTCGGACGGACCATTGCTCAGGTCATCATTCTCGAGTCTGAGGTTGACAACGGGGTCAAGTTCCGTACGGGGAAACCCCCGTCACGTCGTCAGCGTACTAGAGGTAGCCGTAATTGAACCACTCACGGAACGAAGAGCCCACGAGGTGATCAGGACTTGCAAAAGAGTGGGTAGGGTAGACGCACGAGATTCTGGAATGAAGATTGAAATAGGCTTATCGAGCTTCGCATTCCAGCTCCGATGATGATTCTTCCGATTCGGACTCGATTACCTCGGACGACTTGGCGACCATGTCTTGCGAGCGACCGGGAAACGCTGTCTTCGTTGGAACCGGTGGAGAGTCAGTCGATAATGAAAAAGTTTTCTCAAATGCCACGACGTGCTCTGATATCGCACAGTTCGACGTTGCCGACAAAGAGATTCCCAACGGTGAGTTCAGCAGTATTTTCCCCGGGAGACGTCACAGACCGCTTAGAATCTCCCGTAGATCCAGCTTGAGCGAAATGAAGCTCGAGCGACTCTTGTCCGAACCCATGAGGAAGCAGGAGAGCTCGAACCGCTAGAAGTGAATATTAGCGATGGGATAGGCAGCGAGAACGTCACGTCGACGGTTTACATTCGATGTAGTAAGTTTCGGCAGCTCCGCAACGAGCGAGTGGGACGATCGGGCGGGCGAACGTCAGACGCTCGGAGGAAGGTATCGACGATGAGATCGACCTGCGGCTCAGTTGCCAATGATCGACTGCCGTCCTGCCGTCCTTGATTCTTGGAAAATCCGAAGGAACATCGCATTCCGTTTGACGGAACCGAAGGAGGCTTACGGCTTTGGATTGTGGGACATTCACGGGAATTCGGGCTAAAAATCCTACAATCTGACGAAACTCTCCCGTCGGCGATGCTCCTGGTGCCGGGAGAAGGGTTTGAATAGCTAATGGGCTAGAACAATCGATTCGAGCCAAAGTTTCGCCCGGGAGGGAACTGCCGAGGAGTTCCGCTGGTATGGGGAGAGACCAGCTCAGAAGAGGGGAACTCCGAATGTTGCGATTCGACAGCAATCTTTCACCTGATATTGCGTGCAAGCGGTATCGTCCGTCCTTGGGTCACCAACTCGTCGGACGCTCGTTCTCCAAAGTGCGTCGAGTCCCGACCAGCACTCAATCTGCCCTCAGAACAGTTATCTGTAGAACTAACCGAGCGCATAGTAATGAGGTCGACGGGATCTCTTTGATTCGCAGCAAAAGTTACCGTCGAAGCCGACCCGTGCGGCCGAGCCGCGGGTTGCGCTGAGTTCTCATGCTCCTCCTAGAATCGAATTGCGGAAAGTTGTGAGTCCCGAACCGACTTTCAAGGAAAACCTAATTTCAGATGTGCAAGCTCCCGATTCCGGTATCGGACCCGAGGAAGTCACGGCCGCGCTAGAGTCGATGATTTCGGACCTAAACCAGCTGGAGGACGATTGGTTAGAAAAGAAAGGCTCCGTAACGCCGGAAATCCATGTGATCAAGAGTGAAGATATCCAGCCGGTATGCAATCAGAGCGACGAGCAACAGCAGCAGTCGCAAGACACGGCCGGAATCGACGTCAACGTCAAACTGCTGACTCGCTCCAACACGAACTCCAGTATATCGGCGTCAACATTGAGCAATCGAGATCCGAATTCGATACGCTCAACACCCGTCGGGAGTCCCGAAAGCAGTCCGCAAACCATGTGAGTTCTCCCGCTCGAAACTTCGACAAACACATCGATCCGATCACCAAAACGCGACATGTTCGCTACTTGTCAAGACTCCCAGTAGTCAGGAGTGGAGATCAAGTGTTCAAGCTGAACACTCAATCGGAGCCTCTTCCGAAATACTCTATGATTCGTCCGATGCGAGAACACATATCTCTCATTACTCGCTCCGATGGCCTCTGCAGTACAAAACGCCGATTTCTGACAATGATTACGAGGCGAATGATTCGTGTATCGATTCGAGGGTAAAGAGGTCCCATTCGTTGTCTCTGCCATCAATTCTGTGACGCCTGGTCACAGCCCGTTTTTTTTTAATCGATATGTTGACGAAGAGCGTTTATTTGAGATTCAGCAAGCTATTAGTGATATTATGGTTGTGCGGGACGGATCTCTGCTCGCATTGATTAGATCGATCTCGTACAACATCTGGTAATGAACCACTTCTCGGAGTAGCTAAGCCCCCGGCTCCAGATGTGATCGAATAATGGTTCGCCTCACGTGTTGATAACTATTCGCGAACGAGCGATGTTATTATTTGACGCCTAGCTCGTCATCACGAATCCCTTGCGGAACCCTCTTGCCCATAGCCTATGGCTACATACTCGACAGATTCTGGAACTGATTCAAAGATCATCTAGTCGACGGGGCAAGGGGGTTCTCGGAGACCGTTCCCGGCTTTTCATGGTTTTATTGATCCATATGTTCCTGCGATACTAAATCACAGGTTCATATCCCTTTTATCTCAGGGACGATTTCTCAGCAGATCGGCGTCAATCTCGACGGATGAATCAGTTTGAACTTGTTCCTCAGCAGGGTCCCATAGCATTAAGAGTAGCATTTTCGGGTTGGGATGAGTTATTCGTTGAACCTCTTCAAGTCTCACCTCCTCCTCCACATGATGGGAGACGACCGTCGCGGAATATTAAATTTCTGCTCCCATTTCAGAAGGAAGAAATACGTCATAGTCGAGGGCACTCCGGAAGAATTCGCTAGACGCCATAATCTCTACTTCCCCGAGCCTACGTCTACAAATTCTTCTCGATGCGTCACTCCATCGAATCCCACAAACAACGTTTTCTCGGTGGATCTCTCACAAATGAAGTCGATGAAGCTATTTTTCTCAAATGTTGACGCTACCTGCGGCCAGCTGGTGATCGCTTCGAGAGAGAGCCAGTACAAGATCTTCCACTTCCATCACGGGGGCCTCGATAAGCTTGCTGAGGTTTTCAAGGTGAGCCCTATACCATGCGAAGGCAGCCCTATACCATGCGAAGGCAGCCCTGGCGACACGCTCCTCTCCGTATCGCCTCGCGATGGGGGGGCATGAATGAATTCGGGATTGCCTCCACCTATATCCTTGACCCTCCCGAACGACGCGACGCCCTCGAGACCCGGACGCCGTTCGGATTGGCGAATCGAGGGCGATATCCCTCGGACTCGAATTTGTCTCAAGTATTTGTCGCAGGTGGATGTAGTCGCTCGGGCAGGCCGTCCCTCCGCACACAGCTCACAGCAAAGCTACTTTTGTCGGATTTTGGAAACATTTTCCGAGGCCGTGAAGACGACGATAACCATTTTGTTCGCTCCAACGGCTCGAGTCACTCCACACGAAAGTATGGAAGGCCGGGAAACCCGCCTCGGTGAGGCATCGGGAGAGGAGAGCTTGCATTGCAAAGATTTTCTACGGGCTCCTACTCATGAGCCTGCCCGGGAGGTCATTGGGCTATGCCCGGCTATCCCTGCTCAACAGGAGCTCGGGAGTTGAGATGAACACGGCGGAGAAATCCGACCGACCATCCCACCATCGCATCGGCTTGGTGAACGACCATCGTTCTGGGTGTTCCAGGCCTTAGTGCTCTTCCGCGAGCGTGACATTTGGTGGAGCTGAGATATGTGGGGGGACTCCGCGCAATATCGGGAGCCTCTGGGAGCCGGTAGCGAGACTCTCGCGATAACTGTAACATGGCCCATAAACTTTACTGCATACCTACGAGTCTCGCTCCCACAAAACGCCGTGTCTACCATTTTGAGCTCATTCCCATCCTCGGGTCTAGAATATTGGGGCGCTCTATCCGACCATGATGCGAAGTAGCCCTTCGGTACCGGGGAAAATCTGGGCCCAGCACGTCACCAGCTACTGCAGGCTCATTGAGAGCTCTCAATTGTTGCCGTCATTCCGCTTCCAGGGCGTGGGACAATGCGGATGTGTTACCTCCGAATGTGCGTACACACACCCGCATACGCATATTTCATGCCGTCGATATCCGTCGAAGAGGCTCCGATCTTTCTGAATACGCTCAGTGAGATCCGGTCATTCTGAACACGCATTTTCCTCTGACCAGTTCAACGACATATCTATTTTCGGGAGAATCCATTCAGTGGTGGGTCACGGACCCGTTTCCGCCGGAGAACTCTTCCGAACTCATCGGGCGTTCTGGAATCATCGCTCTAGGGGAGGAGCTCCGAGTCGTCTGTCGTCCGAGTACAGGAGAACCTTGACTGATGACAGTCAAAATGGGTCATATAATCGAGGTTCAACAGGAATACATGGGAACCTCGATTATATCAACCATTTTTTTCACGTTACTTGATTTCCCGGGGATCATGGGAATTCACGTGTTCTAAGACACTCCTCAGTTCGCCCGGAACACGGTGCTCACTTGATACAGGACGTCTGACGACACGATACGAGAAGTGTAGGTATCTATGACGTGCAGAATTCCCCGAAAACGCATGATCGATGGCATCCGTGCCGACCGCGACGCGGCTGCCTGTTGCCTCATCCGTTTCGCATCCACATCGTCTCCCATAATAAAGTTCAGCGGAGTTGGCCCAACCCACGGGACTCACTCGATTTCGAGCTCGCGGCGAATAATTTCCCGAGGAAACCCCTCCCCGAGGCTTTGGTGTGATCTGGATAGAGAGGGCTGATTCATCCGTCCTGCGAGCGAGTAACTATTGCGCCGTATCTCATCCTTTCAGGATTTCGACTTCCTCATGAAAAGCCGGACCGAGAGGATCCGAGAAGATAAAGAGCGCAAAACGATTTCTCAATTCTTCATCTTCAGTAAACCCCGCCTAGCGCCGGAAGAATGCCATCCCGAAGAAGACACCGTTCCGATGTGCGACTTCGATTTTTGGTTCAGCCACGAAAACGAGGATGGCGTCTTCGAGAATGAGATCGGAATCCGGAAAGCCGTTTTTTTCCGAGGTACTGACCACGTGGATTTCGGAGGGATCTATCTCGGACGGGGATTACGGAGCATCAAGAGAAAAGAGCCGAGCTGATCTTTGATCCTTCCCAGGTGTGGAACCGGGAATCCGGAGACACGTTTGGCCTTTCCTGCTCTACGTTTATTCATTCGAATCCACCCAAGAGGAGCGCGACCGGATTCGGACGGATAACTACGTAATGTATCAGGACATCCGACGACGACGAATTCTCATGACTGCGGAGGAAAAAGACAAATTCTACAAGGACTACGAATGCACCATTGAAAAGGATGTCGTCAGAACCGACAGGTAGGTTTCCGGTGATAGTGAGCGACATTTCGATGCTGCCCCCATCCGGTCCCGGAAGCCGTTGAGCACATCTTTCGATGGTCAAAAGATTTCCATTAAAGGGCAAATCATGTCGATAGAGTTGTACGTATCAGATGGGGAAACGGATTAGAACCGCAGAAAAGAGCACTGGCTAAATTTAGTGGTCTATCGATTACGACCGGGCGGGATATAAATATATATTTCGAGCGCAGGAACCGAAGGTCATGTCGACGCGATTTCAGGAGCAATCCATTCTACGCCGGTGAGGACAACATGAACGTGGAGACCATGAAAGAGATCCTCCTCAATTACGCAGTTCACAATCCGAAAATCGGTTACACTCAGGTGAGCAAGCACTCGATCTCGTCGTTCGATGACGTCGGACCTCATAATAATATGATCTCGACTCGCGCCGATTACATTTCCGATTGGTCTTGTTTCCACAAGAGGACGGGGAGTTGCCGATTGGGAGGGTTCGGAATTGATGAGATGCATTACAAATAAACGATCCTCAGGATCTTCGACGAGACCTTTGCATTTCCCGTCCCGACAGATTTTACTATATATGAGAACGATACGAGTTTTCAGGGCATGTCCGATCTGCTCGCGCCGATTCTATCGGAGGTTCACGAGGAAGCGGAAGCGTTCTGGTGCTTTGCGGGTCTTATGCAAAGAACGTCGTTCGTGTCGTGTCCAACTGATGTCGACATGGATAATAATCTGGTGAGTTCCGGGCGACCGCTCAGCTCCCAACCCGCATCTCCTGGCTTCGAGGTCTCATTGTACTGCCTATCGAAGCAGGCTGAGGTGCCTATCGAGTTTAAGAGAAAATTTCGGATGAGGAGGTTTCTGCATACCCGATCCGTCTCCATCAAGAGAAGAGTAGAATTGGATGGTGGATCCGCGGGCGACTCTCCGTGGGGAGGTCCGGAGAATAATCTTTATTCGAATGATCCAAGTGACGGGCGTAGTCCCTCGCTCGATGCAATAAATAATCATCTCCCCGGTAAGGATGAAGTCGTTGCTCGCGGGCCCAGGTGCGAGGGCGCCGCGAACTTCTCACACGGAATTCGGATCCAAGTCGATAGAGCTCCGTTTCGACGAAATTGATCCTCAACACGCAATAGTTGTTGAACATGAATTCGAGAGATAACTCACTCAGACCAGGGCGGAGCTTGATAGGGTTGGGAATGTTCAACTAAACAATTCCGACCGCTCTCCACTTCTGGAAAATTTTCCCATCACCTCATGCTGTCAGGTGCTTGTCGGCAATCCTTGGGGACTAAGTAAAAATCGATGCTTCCCTGTTTCCAGAACTACCTCCGAGAACTGCTGAAACTTTTCTGTCCGGCATTCCACAAGCATCTGTCTCAACATCTCGATGCTCTGGAGCTTCTTTTTGTGCATCGTTGGATTCTGTTATGCTTCAAACGGGAATTCCCATCGGACCAGTCGCTGCTCGTTTGGGAAGCGTGTTGGTCGCAGTGGCTGACCACGTTTTTCCATTTGTTCGTCTGCGTCGCCATAATCTGTATTTACGGTCAGAACGCCGTCCACCAAAATATGACCCTGGATGAGATGCTGCTGCACTTCAGCTCATTAGCAATGCACATGGACGCCCGTACAGTGCTGCGAAAGGTTCGTCGCACCCGACAGGCTCTCGCTTATTGCGGTATCTTCTCCTTAAATCCCGTCTTATTCGTCTTACCCAGTCATGAACCGTTTCCAGGCTCGCGGTCTCGTTTATCAGTTCAGATCTCGACGGAAGATCCCCTGCACACTCGTCGCGCTCTGTAGTCAATCTAGCGGCTTCGACTCAACGTGGGACTCGCACAGCATCCCATCCGTCGAATGCGTCTGCCCCGGTTTCCACGAAACCGGAGTCTGCGTCAATCGGAGAGATCTCGAGGATTTCTGATCCAGGTTCCAGCCGCAGTCGCCAGAGCTCGACGCGGCTCCAAACTATTCGTGCATGCTGCCCAAATTATCATGCGCGGTCCGGCTTCGATAAATGAATGACTGGATGGTGGATATATATAAACTTCGATGAATGTCGACCCATTCGCCAGAAGTTGGCGATACAGTTGTGATTTGAAGCATTTCGAAGCAGATAATCGATAGATGGAAACGATTTGCGAAATCGACGGAGAGATATCCGAGCGGGAGATGATTAAGATTTCGTCGGATCGAAACGATTATGTCTGAACGGTTGTCGCTCATGGGGCCACTGCGGCTAAACACTTATCACGACATACCGAAAATCATTGTGAGATATTGTGATTCTCCCTGCTCTTCGAGAGCACGTTGCGCGACCATGTCACACACCAGCAACAGACTCCGCGTATCGAGTACTCCTTTCGCGGACGAGATCAGCTTATTCCGGAACGAAACACGAGCTCGAATGATCCCGAGAAGGAGATTCGGAGGGAATCACCAATCATTCCCTCAGAGTAGTAAAGTAGTGACTTTCCCCTCTTGCTCCACTGCACCATTGAACTTATTGTGGATTTGAACCCGACGAGCGACACGGAACTACGATTCCTGTGGTGAACCGTGCAAGGTCTTGAAAGTGCCAATCCGTGACGGCTACAGCGTGAGGAATATCTATAATGTGATTTAGGAGATCTGAGGAATTTTACCGAGTGAAACTGAGGAGATGAGCAATTATAGTGAGAAACTCTCGGTGTCGAGAAGGAGCGACAATGGAACCAATGACACCATATTCATCGTAGAAGAGACGCATCTCAACGAACGTGCTGATAAAGAGTTCGATTTTACCATGAGCACGTAGCGAATTAATTTAGGCTCGACGAGAGGCTTTTCAACAACGAAACTTTATTCCGGAAAACTATGCGAAACCCCCGCCCCTCTCCCACCCTCAAATGTGTACATATTTATATTTCGGAGATGGACGAGCCATGTCATGGTGGTGAGTTTCTGGATCGGGAGAGATGTAGAGCATCCATGCTCCCATCCCGGATCTCTCACAAGCTCCCTATGTATAGATTCATCGAACTGTGATCGAAATAAACAGAAGAAGTCAACGAAGCCGGGCGTGAATTCCATGGGGTCGACGTTCCTCGACGTGCGAGTGTCCATACATCAGGATATTCGATGTCTATCTAGACAATCGACTCTAACCCCGACCCCTCACCCAGCCTCATGAGTTTACGGATGATATCTCATGGGAAGCTATACCCTGAACCTGTTTCAAGTCGGTCCTTCCGCAAATCCGCCAATTATACATCCATTCATGTTTCAATAGTGAGAAGTCGATGAATGGAGCACGAACTTTTGAGCTCCACTGAGGTCTATTGGAGAACTTCCGGCCATGCTGTCAAATGGTCATTCGTACTCGTACGAGCCTCGCACGCAGAAACACTCAAGGACCTACAGGCAATGAAGGCCTGGATTGCCTCATGCCCAGAGTTGGAGGTGGGTCATTCTCTGAGCATACGGGTCCATTCGGTGAGCTCTTGAGGCAAAAAGTTGTCGCTCCAGCAAGATCGCGACGAACACTGATTCTCCTCCTGACGTGGCTACCGCGATATGCGTATACCAGGTGTTGGCCGGAAAGGCAGCTCTCACCTATCTCTTTGGTCGGAAGCGCTTCATATGAGAAACAGCATTGACTTAGCTGGCGCTGTCGGACTTGCATCCAGGAGCGGTGATTTCGAAGAACCGGCCGATGGGCCAGAATCTTTCCAATGGCTCGCTCTAATCGTGATAGTCACCATCTCGAGACCATCACCGATCCCGCGTCATCCATTATTTCGGTGCCGATGCAATCAAATCCTGGAAGCTCTGCTAATCAAACGAGATCCTAACGGGTCGCACATACTCTCCTTGGTATTTATCCAGACCTATCACTTCTCTATCCCTGAGGAGTACTCTGTCAAACAGCGCCGGAGTTAGATCCTGACGTGAGCTCTTCAAATCTTGATTCGCGGTCTTGTCTTTGTGATCCTATGAGCGATCGCCTCCCTTCGATTGCTCGGCTTCGATTCTCGTGCTGAGTCCATCGTCTTTTGGATCCGCTCCCCGAGGATGGGGTCGAGACTACATCGCTCTCGGAGTCGACCACCCTCCTTATGGGACTTTCCCGGTGAAATATCAGGATGGCGGAATGAATATGAAAGGAGGAGGGAAGCTCCGCATTTGATTCCAGGAATGCTCAGGATTCTCCGCGAATCGGGGAGAAATATTCGCCGCAGGTTTCTGTCCGAGGAAATTGATGTTCCGGATCAAAACGGATTCGGAGCATGAATCCTCTACACCCCGAATCTCGCTCGTTCCCGATATGTCTGTGTCTGCCTGTGACCAGAATGAGCCCGAAACCGAATTGGAGGGAGCCCGAAGCGAGCTTCACGAGATTGAGCTTTCCGATGCGCGGATGTTCATGGATGGAGATGTTTTTGCTAGAAGTCCGAAATATGGAACACTGATCCGTGTCGGACCTGCTTGTATCCGCATTGATATATGTCGATGATTGACAGGATAGATGATGCCTGAGATTGGGGACTCCCGCGAATCTCAAGTGTGTAGTACTTTGTAGTACCCAGCCTCTCGGCTATTCAGCGACACACTGGAGCCATGGTGACTAAACGCGAGTAGCACCATCTCGGAGCCCTCAAGCGATCATTTGATCAAATGGTAGCTTGCAAGATAAATCTGATGAGAACTGAGCTCCTCAGAGATAGGGTCCATTCGGTGGGATTGAATGACGGGACCGTTCTGCGAGCGAGACCGGAAGCAGAAGACGGGACGAGGGTCAATCTCCGGACAGTCGCATCGAACGCGGTTTTGGCGCTAGCCTCCATTACAGCATCATGGTCCGTTTTTCGAGTCTGGGATCTTGGGTGCAGCCCACGGTCAAGGGTGGACATGAATTTCTGAGCGCCAAACGAGACGGGGGCTCAAATTCGAATTGACTAGACACCCGATCATTGCTGTGGTTGCGAGAATGACATGAAAGGGTGTCTCGGGACGTCTCAAGGTCGACATATCCAATGTTCCTATTTTCGGACCGAAGACCACGTGTGCAGAGCACTGGGCTTCCGGGAGTAAGTGAGTCCGAAGTTATTGAAACCATTTAGTGCACCCAGCAACTGATAGAGTATTGCTAGTGTTACCCTGTTTTGATCGAATAAGGAGCCGGCGCCCATCAAGGTTACTCTACCGGACGAATGGGGATGTGCAACAGGGAGCATTCGTCGGCCGCAACCCGGACTCGAAACCGCCATTCGAATTGCCAGATCGAGGTTCATCCAAAGCTATTCAGACCGGTGCGGCCGATTAGCGTCGTGCGATCCGAGCTCCCCGCTTGCGAAGAGGAACGCCCTCCGAGATTCACAGTGCCCAGTTTGTCTTCCGACCTGTTTAGCAATACCCGCAGCAGTCTGAAGGCATTCCGCATGAGCGGGGATCCCGAGGAAGAATGAATCGACGATCTTCTCTAAGCACACCGCAAGCTCCGGCTTGGGAGCGGCGCAGCATCCGAGACCCGTTGCTCAGGAATGCCGGTCTCTCTCTATTCCCCTATTTCTACGTATCGGAGTACTCCTCAAAATGTCCAAGAGTCGAATGAGAGATTCTTGAGTTCCGAGAACGGGGGCAACGATTTCCGCAATGGAAGAAGATTTCGGCGGACGAGATTCTACCGAAAACGGTAGAAGACTCCGCCTTCAATTCCTCTCTCCTGGGTCTCATCTGATTTTCAGCCGAGTCTTTTCATATCTCGTCCGGAAACTCCGGACAGTTCTCAAAGCGAACGGAAATGATGCAATCCGTAGAGGAGCTGGAGGTCAGCGCCGAGAGGATCTCCTTGAGGTGCCCCCGCCTGCTCGAACAAGAAGCCCTCAACGAGGCATCTACACGCCTCAAAACGGAAGAGCCGCGCGGTCACGTTCGTCGTTCCGATTGAACAAAAACGGCTCAGGTCTCCTATCGTGATGTAGGGAGAAGGGTCGGAGCAATGAAGCTGCCTTGATCCGTAGCACATCGACGCAGACTCCTCCGTAAAATAGGAGTGCAGCTCCTGTTGCGGCCCACGACGTGAACTCCAGCAGACGAGGAGAGTAGTTCCTCTCAAGAAATTTTGCTCATGCGAATCGACCGACGCGGACAATTCACTTGGGCTGGAGGCAGCCGCAATGAGCCGAATGCCGCGTCGGCGTCGCCTACACGCTTAACGTATTTGAATCCATGAATTTGAATCTCTCCGTGGCCCATTGAGAAAGACGAGTTTTCTGAGCAGGAGCTGACTATCTACTGCATCTCGGTCGTTGAGGAAGAATTCAGCCGGCCGAGGGGGAGAAACGATTTGTCTCGAGGACGGCGCAGTCCGGAGCGCGCTATCTACACGTTGCTAAGGTCGACAGCCCGTGCGGATAGTCGGCAAGGCAGTCTCGCAACAAAAAAGCTTCTCCGGACGTGTTCCGCTTGAGGAACTGCATAAAACCTAAGTGAATGAGTGGATGAACCACTTGACACAGTGTCTCGGGGCGCTCTGATGTTTTCACAACATTGCCGAATGAAGGGAGAGGAAGGCTTCTACGGAGACCTGCTGCTCGCATGTTCCAGGTTCATCAAATCTCTCCGAAAGTCTTGCTCGAGTGCTGACGTGTGTCAAGTTCCTCGAAGCAAAGTTGCAACGCGTTGTTCAGGATTTAGAGATCCGGGAGGAGAAAATTACTGCACAGAATGAGGGGCTGGAGAATATTTTTCACTTTCGAAGTCCTGCGGCATCATATCGAACCATCTGCGAGATCCTCGTTTTGGTAATCGTGGGACATGCGGTCGGACATTTCAAAACCGACGTCTCCTCTCACGCATCGGACTCCGACGGAGCGTATTGCAACTTGAAAAAATTCGGACGGGGCAGCGATCTCACGTGCTCCAGTCGAGTAGAGGTCGGTGCTTCGTATTCTCAGGAGCCCCCCAACCGAACTTGAACATCAACCGACTCAGCTGCTTGGCTGACTGGTCGACACACCGAGCAAGCAGCTAGCTAACTACACTCGTTAATCTTAGTTGTCCGTTGCCATTTACTACGAACGACACGGGAGACAAGCGAAGGGGACGACGGGGTGATGTAGGACGTGTGGCCCAGGGCGAAAACTGGGGCGTG